TGTAAACAAATTATAATGACATTTGTGAGCATTTGCATGTTTTCAAATGATATAGAGAACTTCATCAAGTCTTCATTTATTCTGCTTGCAATTACTCATCTTTGTATGCAAAATACACAAATTTCTAGAGACGAATAAACGTATGTAATGACATAATGTTTTGAGAATTTAGGATATAAGAAATAATACTGATAAAAGTATCGCATACAGACCAATGGAAGGTTACATTTTGACCGTGAACCCATAAAAATTCAACAACATTCATAAGTTGAATACATCAGATGAAATTATCACTTCATAAAACCATATAACACAACCGATTCAATTCATCTATCTCATAATACAAAGAACATGAAATAAAAAATCGTATTGGTTTTTGGTATTGCAAACCAATCTCATTGATAAATCCATCTACTAAACACTGCAATACCTAGTGCATTACGAACGTATTATATGTTGTGCCAGAGAACTAGTCATAATGAACAATTTCAAAACAATGACTTACTTCACCACGACGTTTTGATGGTTCAGATAGTGTTATGTCACTCATTAGAATTCAGCGTGATTAATGTAACAATGAAACAGATAAAGTGGTGAATGTATATTGTTATTTGATAATTTACACTTCTAAAGAAATAATGTTTCTCAGGTAATAAATAGTTCGGCTTACCTCGTTTTTCATTCGACTAAATTATGCCTTAGGTTATGTAACCTAACAACGCTAACTGCTACATATCGTTGCCCTTAGTGATAAGTTTTAGTTATAAATGAACCATATAATTGCATAATCTCATTGGTTGCGTACAAATTTTATGTGCAAATATTTTAAGTATCGGAACAAAATTATATATATATATATATATATATATATATATATATATATATATATATATATATATATATATATATATATATATATATATATATATATATATATATATATATATGGCATTCAAAAGTGCACTCCATGCGAAGGTACAAGTTTAAGAAAACGCTTCAGCTAAAATGATTCGGTCATAAATATCTTAACAATTATGAAACTGAATTAACTTTGGAACTTGTATCCATTTTAACGACAGTCCATCTGAATTGCCTACATGTTGGCAGCTCTCTGTGTTTATGGAGTCAACATAACGACAGTTTGTTTGGTTAGAAACAATATATGGTTCCAAGTGTTGAAGTTTAAATGAGATGAAAATCAATTTAGAAAGAATGGGAATATTTTATCTACTGCAAAGAATGACCAATTTTACATAGATAGCTGAAATCAAATAAGCAAAGCGCAGATACCTAGAAACAAGAGAAAGAAATGTTAAAATTCCCTCTTACATTGTGGCCAAGCACGATATTTTTAAACAGCAGATTGCTAGTTCAGTAGTTAAGTATGAATAGCTTATTCATACCTGTATGAATTTGTAGAGTATTTTCAAAGATTTCTACACAGTAGCCCAGAAATGTGTTCTCTACCAAAAATGAAAGTCGATAAATTGCCTGTATTAGGTATTATTTCTAAAAGTGAATCATCAAACTGAGTTTTGAGTAAATTGAAAAAATAATTCGACGGATAAAAAAATGAACGTTATGGAAAATACTAAAACGCCGATAAGTTCAATTTTCGATCTGAGAACAATTAATATGTCTTCTCGGTTTAGTGGAGAGTTCTGTTTGCCGAATTAGCATTTCTTCTTTAGTGTCTAATACGAAGGAAAGAATAAAGAAATGAAAAATCATGTAAATGATTTTCTGAGACTTTAGCTCGTTTCTGGATATTTTGAGACCTTGTTATCTACCCGCCAGTCTGTACTTAAATACGCAACATGAGTTGTGTCGTAACCAGCTTTCAGCCTTAGTGTGTCTGTTCACTTGGTGCAACTATGAGAGTCCAATCTTGTGAGTTCGACGTTGTGGTATGATTTGATTGACAAGAGATGACTATTGCAGAAAACTGTTTATCCAATCATCTTAACTCAGCCGTATACACAAATAAATTTATGACTCACCGACCACAGCACGTAATAAATAAAAACTACAGTATATTCCCAGACTAGAGAATTAGACTGCAAAACGGAACACGGGGATCGTGGATAAATTACAATAAGATTGAAATAAATGAAAATATGTCAGTATTATATAGATTAACCGGAATCTTATGATTAATCATAGAGCAGGGACACAACTAAATGTTAGTAATTTAAAGACCACAAGTTAAGGCAAATAATGCCCCGAAAAATAGCTTTCTGAATTTGTCATTTTTTTCACTTTTTCTTCACTGCAATGTTACAAACGGTATATTTCATTTATTTCTCTCTATTTCTCTCAAAAGTGGAGCTGACTGGTCAATAAGCTCTTAAATATTGCAAAATAGTTACATCACATATCTAAAAGCAATTACAAAGCTCTGTAGTGTGCAGTCGAGTAACTCGACAACCTGTCGAATGAAGTAAGATATTAACACCGCTGGATCCCAGTTCAATGGTTCGGAGGGTAACCGTTCACGTGTGAGATTGAAGGTCCTGAGTCAGATTCCCACAGGCGGGGTGGTGGAAGCCCACGAAATGGCTGTTCAGTGCTTCCAGTTTTTCAATGGTCATCTATCTAGGATTAGTTCGTGATTTAAGCTACAGAATAAACGTGATCGGCTCTCTTCAAGTTAAAGGTTTTGCTCATCCATGTGAGATTTCCATTTGTTATCAGATGTGATATATGAAGTGTGAAAAGTTTCTAACTAGGACGATACAATTAGGCGTTCCATGGTTTTCCATGGTACTCCAAACGAGATCAGTCGGTGACGAATATAAACTAAAAATATAGTAGTATGAAATATATGATTGGGAAAGGAACTTCTTCTTATTTATGTCCATCAGGAAATTTAAAACTGAAAATGGTAGATATCATTTACAGTGTTTCCAAGTCGTTCCAAAATATTTAAAAGTCATCAGCTGAGAAACCGTAGGTTGACGTGAACTAACTGAATTATCTGTAAAAATGTGGTAATCATCACTTGTAATGTGTTGTAATCGTTAACTTGTTTATGTTTATATCACTACTGTAGGACATTTCTCCATCAGTAGATTAATTTCTTAGAAGTTGAAATTATTACTTCAATTAATCTATACCTACAATCAAGCGAACTCGTTACAAACATGTATGTTCGTATAGCCACATTAGATTGACGATTTTTCTGAATGAACTAAACTACTCATAAATGAAATAGTACTATACTTGCATAAAGTTGAATTAGTTATAGCTGCTCAAATTGAATCAGTCAATTTGAATATCTGTGGGAAATATATGGTAACAACAAAACAAACTAAGTCTTTTTGTACGGACTCGGAATTCGAAATGAATGAATGTTGGATTGTATTACTGATTGGTTGTGAATGGAATAAATAAATCCCAAGTTTCAGGAGATTTTTCATATAACTCAAGACAAAACGAGATTAGCTTGAAACAACAGAAAACTGTAACTTTCCCCTAACCTTAATTTTGATTTCAGATTTCCAAAAAAATTATATCATTTGTATTTAAAGTGGCACCGATGTCTGTGATAAACAGAATTACTCAGAAATTCCGAAAATACTAAAAAACACATGATTACATTTTTTATCCCTAACAATATACACAAAAATATGCATGAGTATAATTCACATAGAATCACCTCAATAGGAATAACATATCATTAACATCATTAAACCTGTTTCTGATTATACCAAATATTCTACTTTGCTTCTCTGTATTGTTTAAATCTTATTTATTTATTCTCTGAAGAAGCGACTTACATTAAGTTGTGAAACGTTAAAAATTCAGTTTTCTACTCATTGGGACATTAGAAATACATTATTTCATCATCATTATTTGTTATGCATCATAAAACTGTATTTAACACTGGATGATCTTTTAGTCCCATTTTTCACTAGCTGCTGAGAAATCTTGAGTGATATTCTCGTAAACTCATGTACTTTCGAAACGCAAGTTTTTAAGTGAAACATATTGTGTTTACAAAACGTTTGATGAAGTTATTTATGTAAGGTTCATACAAAAAAAGTTTCCTACAAATAATAAAAATAGTAGAACCTCATCTAAATTCAAGTTTAAATATGATAAATACGAACCTATAGATTATTAGTAATGCTTTCACTAGTATTCACTGAGAGATTTGTATCTACATGAAGCTAACTATGAAGTAGTAATATATTCCTATTCCTATTCCTACAACACCTAAATCATATTTTGATCAAAAGTAAGTTCGAAATAAGGTATGTCTACAATCCTAAGACAGTTGATGATTCTTGTGCAATGCACACCCATGTCATAACTAGAGGTATTATCATTAAGCTACTCCGTACACTACTGTCTCTCAACACCTATATATATGCGCTAAATGATCACGTGGTAGTAATAAATACTCAATTGTTTAGTTCTTAATGGTGATTAAATCCTATAAACCGAGGTGGAGAATCTCCAGTCTTTATGTAGAAAATGTTTAGTTTACTAAATTTTATTTATTCAGATGGATCAATAGACTACTGTTGATATATTGGCTCTTATTTTAGTGTCTTACCACCATCATGAATAATTTCTTGACTCCATTTTACGATAATTAACGGCAAGTTTTACAATGTTTCCTTTTATATTAAACTTGTAATCTGTATGTAACAAAACCCCAATGTTGGTGTTTGAACTAAGGTCGAAACCAAGCAATGATTTATTAAGTTAAAAATAATTATACTGAAGGGCAATTAGTGCAGAAACCTTGTATTCACTAGTTTAGTTGCTAGTTTCTTTTGCTAGAATTTCACGGCTAATTTTCGTCATATGATATGAAAATAAACTGTTTGCTTCTTTCATATTTTCTTTTAGAAATATATGATAATCGAAGAACATAAAATGCTACACTAATATTATCGTTAGCACCATTTCTTAAATTCATTTGTCAATTTACATATTAAATCAAGAAGAAAAAGACTGCTTTTCAACTAAAACAAAGAGATTCAACTTGCCTTATCCGGGGAATAGAATATGGAATCTATATGATTCCTGTCATAAAATGTCATCCTATTACTATCTTTAAGTATTGTTCGGTTTGTTTCAACATTTTTCATTTCAGAGGAGCAATGTACTGAATAACTCATTTTGGGAAAGTGACAAATTTCTGACTGACTACTGTTATCATCTGAGTCTAACCGGTTTCTTGATAAGAATTGACTTTGGGAATTGTAACTTGTTTGACAGCTTCTATATGTTTCTTTATTTTTATTAGAAAAATCACTATCCATCCCCGGTAAACTTAAACGTAAATTAGATGAAGGACTTTGTTTACATTGTGTTTCTACCTGAGGATTTCTTTGAACTTGTTTGCTTTTTTCATGAGAGGCATTTATGTTTGTGGCTTCTGAAATAATTTTTGGTGATGAAATTTTTTTATAATGCATTTCTGAATAATTTGTGCTTTCACAATATTGGACATCATTCATACAATCGGAATTAGTATGAGTTACTTTGATATCTTCGGAATTATCTGATTTGTTTTCATTTTTAGAACTGTTTACATAACTTTGTTGCTTAGTTAAGTAAGATAGTATTTCATGTGATGTCTTCGAAGCTAAATCACACATTAGAAGCTGTTTCCGGTATAAGAGCGTAATCTAATTAAAAAAGAAATTTTATCACAATGAAATTATTTATGTGTAAACGTAAGATTCCGAGAATCTATGGAACGATAAGGAAAAAGTTATTTAAGAGAACTGAGATACTTACCTCTAAAGAGATTCGTCAGGACTGTTGAATCTTGTGTAATATAGGCTCAGAAACATTTATGAGTCAAGACTTAACATAAAAAGCTTTCATTGGTGTTAAAGCTTGAAATGAAAACTTGATTGATAGCAATATTCAAAGATTCGTGAGATTTATACGAACAATGTTTAATGGGAACATAAAAACGTTTCTATCTGGAAAATTCAATTTAAGATGTTTTTCAAATCGTCCGAAAATATAAGTTGTTTGTCATTTCAATAATTGTTTAAATCATATAATTTATTTGCAAGCAAACTGTTTTGATAACGTATTTATTACACCGGCTTAATTGGTTAAAATAGGATTTATATGAAAATCAGTGAAGTTTCATATTCTTTTAAAGTGGGAATGTGATTTCGATATAAGATTTTACGAAATTATTTTTTTTCATACTATAGCATTCTATCATAAGAATCTAAAGATGTGTTTTATCATATATATATATATATATATATATATATATATATATATATATATATATATATATATATATACCGTTTCTCAACAGTTTTTGTACGAATTTATTTACACTTTGGAATCAAAGGTTTGTCTTCCTAGTACTATTTGTCTTATCAGATCTAAAATTCCAAGAATTATTAATAATATAAGTCAGATGAGAGGGAAAGATACGGACGAAAGTGGTTGGGTTATACTACGGAAATACTTGTTTATTCGCTGGTAGTCTGTTTCACAAGGAAATAAAATAGATTTCCAACACATTATGATTAACAACTGTTATCCAGAATGTAATAACCCCCGGTTCAAATCATATTTAAACATAATATTGTGCTATATTTATAATTATAAATTAGATATATACTTCTTACCTCTTACCAAAGGTTTAACTGTCCTCAAGCGCTGATACCCATAACTTGGGTAAACAATTGTGACTTTTAAAGATTAATTAGTTTTGAATAACAAAAGTCAAGTGGTACTTGTGCTGACTAGATTTTCCTAATATTTTCGTATCAACGGCATTGTCCTATAAGATCACGTTGAAAATGCATCTTAAAATATTATCAGTAATTTCTCTAGTGATACAAAAAATAATTTCATGGACTCATACACCGTATAATGTATGTTCAGTAGTTGGAAATGAGGTATTTATGCTTCTGCTAGGATAGTCAAGGTTGTATATGACAGCATAGTCAAAATTTATCAGGACAATGTGATGGTAATTTTACTTAAGTGTCTAAAGTTGTTGTTCCTGAGTATGTGAGGTCAAACCTCTCATAAAATATATAGCAGTCATAACAATGCGGAAGTTTATATTCTGCAAATGTTTTATTAACTAACATGTATCAACTTAAATTGTGAATCAATATATATTAATAAAAAAGTTTAGAGGAAAAAATGCTGCATTTTTAACGATTTAAAATCATCATAGAATGTAATGCGCTGTAAAAATCATTAACGGGGAGAAGTTATTTCTATAAAGTATGTAATAAATGGGGAACTTTATAGTTAGGTATGAAATTTTAGGCGAAAACATAAAACACATATACAAAATATAGAAAACCCATGCACTTTACAACAAATTATCTTGTCATTACGGGCAATAACATAAATGGGAGATCTAGCCCTAATTGTCAGTCTGTCCTTGGATTTTAAAATAATTGTTCTGAGCTTTTCCCACATTAGGATCAACTTGTCTTTATATTACTCACATACCTTCATTCTTCACAATATAGGGGCGTTTATTCTTGCGGAACTACGCTTACAAATATGACTGATCTGCCTCTGGGAACAGTATTAATGAAACCATTTATGCACATTTTAGTTTGGAAACGAATGGTAATCATTTATGTATTTATTCAATCAAAGGTATATGAAGTAACTGATGAGTAGATATTAACCAATGTTACTTCCTTATAAAATAGTTTCGTAACGTTTTAATAGAAAACTGAGCCTCATATTCACTGCTTTAAGGCTTTTACAAACGACCTTTATTTCCGGTTAATTATAAAGTATTTATCTTCTGTCAGTGAATAAAGTGGTGGTACACCGAGATACATGTCGTCTTAAATAAAAAATAAAGTCTGTTTAACACTAAAAATGATGGATAAGCATGATGACGTCAGTTGGCCGTATAAACACAAGCGCACTCATCTATGCCTTTGTGAAATAAGAAGTAGATGTTCTCAAGCACTAATTCAGTGGGTTTAGTAGAAGTGACATGAAACTAAACAAAATGTAGAACAGTTTTTTATCTGGTTAGAAACACTAAAGAATGAGCCCTTATCCAGCTGCGCTGTCATATATACTTGATAATTTGAGTATACTGTTGGCAATGAAAATGTTTATACAGGTCTAATGTGACAGATGAGATATAAACTTCTGAGGTACGATAATTCCTTAACCACTTACGCCCATAAGTAGGTTATCAAGGTACCCACTAACTAGATAAATGGTTCAATATTTGTGTTCATCATAAATGTCAAGTTCATTTGGCTGTTGAATCACTGAGATTTGGCGAAAGTTGAGTAATAAGTATCTATATAGGGTTGCTTTGCCCTAAAAAGATTAATCTTAACTAGGTAAACATGTGACAATTCATTTGTCATAGATGGACGCTTAGGTGTTGTAGAATATAACCGTCTAGTAGCTCAATTCTTTCGAAAGTATGGCAAAATTCAAGCATCATCATAATAACAGATAATGTTTCCGGATAATATTTCATTTGACTGATAAGTGAAGTGTTTCTAATAGACTATTTTAGATGTTCATATGGTGGTTATCTTAAGAGTTTTCAGACTTTGAAATTTTTAAATTAAATTAATTTTGGTGAATTTGCCTTTTTGGTAAAATATGAGTAGTGTCCTGTAATTTTAGACCACAAAACGTTTTTTGCATATACTGTCTTGACTAACAAAGTGAAAGTAGGTTAGATAGTAGTTTTGAGGGCTTTAAGGATAAGCAAAGTGTTACTTGTGTAATTCACGACAGATTTACAGCAATTAAGAGTATATAAGAGCATTAAGGATGGATAAATACATATTACTGCATGATTGTCAGCTTGACTGTAGAATAATACACTCAATGTTTGAACCCCAGATTTTGTGTTTCTTATATAATTAATTCAGTTGAATGAAACGTATTGCTGAAAGCTGGAAACGAACTTTAGGAAAAGTAACACGCAAGTTGAACATGATTAAGTACCAGAGATTATAGTAAGTGCAATTACAACTAGCAAGAATATGGAGAAAAAATCATTTTCTCTAATGTAATGATAATATAAAAATAATTTCTTGTTTCACTAAAATGCCATTTTGTTTCAATTTTAACTTTTTACTGAAAATCTCTGGAGATGGTTAAAGCATACTTATTTTGTAATTAGCTTTGGCTATTATTTGCATTTCTTTATTAATGCACATAATTTGTACAATTACCACTTTCGTTTTTATTTTCGAACACCCCACATTGAGTACCGCTCAAAAATACACTGCTGCACACACATGCTCTTTTTTCTCAATTGTTCTTGACAATTTAAGTAACACCCAGTATATTTTTGTGTATATATTTTATATTTATTGTAATAAAACGGGAATTTTCTCTCGTAGAAACTTTGGAATTGATGTATTTCAGCCCACCACCAATCCAAGAATAAAATACACGTAATGAATAATTAGAAAACAGACCTACTGTTTATTTTTCTATCCGCTCTTCATGTTAATGGTGTACTTTTTACAATCTTAAGATACTTTTTAAAGTCGTGACCCATTGTGTTAATTTATAAAATATTCAGCAATGCATAAACAAAGCTTCTGGTTTCGAAGAAACCTAAGTGATTTTGTCAGAACAACTTATGTATCAGGGGTACTTTTAAGAACACAAGTCTTCACAAAGTGTAGTACTGCCCTCTATAAGCAGTGAACAATACTTCAGGAAGTTTAAGTAATTATATCTTAAATTTATAAAGGCTTATACGGGCTATAGAGTTTAATAATATTACTAAACGTGCTACTTTGAAGACTGTTCTTACAAATTTATTGGTAAAAGTAATGGTAAGTGCTGACTACAGTGTTTTTGCTTTTGTCAAACCTCAAATTGTGGCACAATTTTAAGTGGTTTTCTAGTTTTACCTTGGAAAAATTCCCATATTGATCAAAATACCACCGCATCTATTTTTACCTAATTTGAAGTTAGAAAAAGATCTTCATTTTTGTAAAATATTGCAGTTTATCCTAGAGACACCGGCCAGTTGTAAAAAAAGCGTCAGGAGTATGAAATTGCTTGGCTTCTTACAAACAGTTTATACGGACATGTTTCTGTTCTTTTGTCTAAGAGATATTTGACGTCACTTATTTACCAAAGACAGTTAAATATGAAACACAAAATGAAATCTAGGTAAGCACAAGACACTTTTATCACAGGTGCAGAGTTGATATTTTGTCAGTATCTATATCAAATGTTGCTAAAGAGTGGTTACTGAAAATACTAGACATCAAAGATATGATTCGAGAAAATAAAAATTTGTGGAATGACAAATTATGAGGGGTTCAAAAACTTAGCATTTAAAACACGGTAAAAAGTGAGTGCATTTGCACCATCGTAAACTATTCTGCGACATGTTATTCAAAGTCTTTAACTACCGACTCCGATGATCATGAGGACCTTAGCCAGGTGGTTTACACCTATTAACACAATCTAACCCGGTTGTCAATTACTTCACGAACTGAGGCCATTTCTGGTTCAGTCACTCCTAGCTTTCTTCTACATTAGGAAACACTATATGTCGAGATAGATGATGGTCGAGCTTTCGTAACACACGTCTCAACCACCTCAGTTGATGGGGATCTGTTGCCTCGCCAGTCGATTTCCCATCCTTATCTGGTAGCATAATCCTAACTCAGGCATTACTTACTTCGTGGTCTCAAAATACATGAGCAATACATTGAAGACATGTATGAACGAATCACCGGTAATCTACAAATACCATCTACTCTTGATGGTCATGTTTCAAATCTACAAGGGACTTCTGTGTAGTGAATTAATTTTTTGGTTAGCAGACGGATATCTATTCTACGCCACAAGTGACATAACGCGACAAAAGCCAGCCAAGCTCGAGATTGGCTGCAGGGGTGGATATAAACATAAATAGTCTGAGACCATATTGTGAAGGAAAATCCATCTAAAACACACAGAGAAGGAAATATTCTCCATAACGTAGATATTGTTAATTTCAAAACATTCTTCTAAAAGCAATATTTGCAAGGATGCTATGCTAACTCACAGGAACTCGTATTTATTTCAGATGT